AAGGTTTTAGGAAGCCACCTGCCTGCCCCAAAACTAGCTAGGTTACAGTCAGAGTGCAGGAAACAGGAAAATCATGGGCAGGGGAGCTGATCGAAAGAGAGAGGGGGCCCGGGCCTAGGTCCTCCCTGTGGGACACACAACGGGGCATAGATGACTGCACTGTGAAGCAAGAACTTGCATTCATCCCTTCAAAGCCAACAGCACACAACATACCAGTGTACATATGCACCCTAGTCCCCAGCACTAGACACTCAAGCCTGGCTGCCCCGGACACATGCATGCACACAGGTGCACATGCTACCCAGCACACTCCACACCAGCACAGATGAACACACCCTGTACATGAGTTGACGCCTCCAAGTCAGGAGGGAGGCAGATCAAGTATGGGCTCCCTTTGCTCCCCCGGGTCCTTGCCCCAGAGAAAGAGGCAGCCTAGGGACGTGGGGGCATGGAGGGGACGGGAAGAGAGACTTCCCTTCCAAATAACTCCCACCCCTATCAGCTGGCGTGAGAGAGGGGTGTGTCTGTGAGGTTGTGCAGGGGAGATGGGAGACTGTAGCCAAGTTCGGCCGTATGTGTGCGTCTGTGTGTGCGCGCGTGTGTTCGGGCCGTGTATGCTCGGAATACAGTGCCCACCTAGCATGGTGACAAGTGCGGAGAAGAGAAATAGGAAGGCGTGAGTGGAGGGGTGGAAGGACAGAGCGGGAGACGAGCGAGGTTGGCGCGGAAAGGCGGCAAGGCTGACACCCTGCTGGCTTGTCTGTCTGTCTCGCACTCTCTCTCTGTCTGGCGCACTCGCGTGTCGGGCTTCGTCCCCTCCCCCGCCGCTTCGGGAGCCAGATCCGAGTCGGGCTCTACCCCTGCCCCTGTCTCCGACCCTCAGCCAACTTGCGCTGGGAGAGCGCCTGTCCTGGATCCCGAAGTCTGTCTGTCCACGTCCCCCACGCCGCGCAAAGTTGGGACGCTCAGGGCTGGGGGCGGGGCGGACTCGCGGAGCCCTTAACACTATGGGACCTTTGCATCCCGGACCCCCGTGCTCGCGCTGCAGCCCTGCTGCCCTTACCTTCTTCAGGAGCCACGGGCCAAAGATCAAGAGAAGCCATTCTGGGAGCAGCCTCATCTTCCCGGAGAGAAGGGAGGGTGGGATGGGTCCTGGGGCAGGCCGGAGCTGGTC